TATCTCCGCTGATATTTAATTCTATTTATTTTTATACCAGATGGGGAAAAGTCCCCCTTTTTACTATCTCCGCTAAGATTTGCAATGATTACTAATTATAAATGTCAGAATGATGTTCTTAGTGATTAAAAAAAACAGGGCCCTGTTTAAAGATTTTTCACCCACCCCGGTATAGTAATGGCATGTAAAATAGATAGTGATAGGAGAAAGAAAGATAGGAATAGGACTATTACAATAAATTACCGGAATATGATATTAAAAACGAAAATTTATGCACTATTTAAATTTATTAAATGATTTTCATGGATTTTTAAAAGGAAACGTTCTAATCGAAAGTTCTAAAAATTTTTTATACATATGTAAATGTTATTTTTTGCATATAAAAAAATTTTTAGGGCAACTTCTCGATTAGAACGTTTCCTTATACATGGTGCATAAATTTTCGTTTTTAATACGTATCATTCCGGTAATTTATTGTAGGCGTATGTATAATAATATCATCAAGTATACGTAAGAAAAATGTGATCTTTACATTTTCAAAACATTCACACTTTGGGACTTATCAAAAATCAAAAAACGTTAACGTTGACTTGACCAAAAATGGATAATATATACTTTGATCAAAACAAATTACTGAATTAAATCCGCATCTTTATTAATTGAAAAGTAATTTTATTTTTATACTACAGTACTAGGTAAACGGACTCCCGTTAACGTCTGGAATGTTTATAAAACTTTATTATCATTACTTTATTGTTTTAAAAATCGATGTATTTATCCAAGGACCTACATTAATCTAAATAGTTATAGGGAGAAATTCGTTTAATTGGATAACTTATTTATCGTTATTTTGCGTATCTATTCTCTATATATATATATACAGTCGCACTCCCATATAAACACCTCCTATATAATAAGTACATCACCTATATAAGCACATTTTTCGAACCAACTAGTGTGATTATATGGGAGTGCGACTGTATATTATATATATATGTGACAAATTAAATTTTTTTTTTGTACATTTTTACTTTATAAGCTTCTTTATGTATTAAAAAACGGTAAAAATTATGTCGAATTAGCCAATAGGTAACCGGTAAAAATGCACGTGCGTTTGAAGAAAACTCATTTTAGTTTGCGTACATGTGATAAATTAATAATATTAATAATTTATCACACAATTTTTATTCGTTATTATTTGCAAGGAAATTAGATCAGCTTGCACGCATTAGTCTGTAATCTTAGGCAAGGTGTACCTTCAATTGCCTAAAGTTGCAACTTCAAAGCAAGTGCTTTTAACTTTATTTAACTTTAAGGCAATGACAGAAAATAACTTGGTATCCTAAATTAAACAAAGAATTTTATCGATTTTCATGTGGATCCTTTCATTTTTTAACCGATTTTAATCAGTTCATGGTAAATCCGGTTCTAACAGATATGATTTAAAACCGGTTCAACCTCTGATCTTTACGATAAGAATATTAGATTAAAGTTATATTCTTGTTCATTGTACTCCAACACACAAGTACACAGCCGGAAAAACAAGCCCCAAAAATCAAAAATTTATGATCACATATGATCACGAGATGTTTATTCTATGTGATAACTGGTTAATCTATAAAATCTTTATTTGATGTTTGATAGCCACATTACCCTTTCTCACGTCGTATCGTACGTAACGAGCAAAAAAATGACTTCGAATAATAAAGAATTCGATGGCTGGAGTGATACTCCTCCCAAACAGGTTGAGGAAGAAAAAGTTTGGGGTGACCCTCCTAAAAATCTTTCAAAATCCGAGCTCAAAAAAGATACTGAAGAAAATCGTATTACTTCGGAAACTAAAGAAACTGAACCTTTTGTAAAAGAAAAAAATACTTTAGAAGTTACTACTGAAGAAAATAATGAACCAAGTGGTTGGGGTTCCCCTCCTAAAAATACTGAAGACGATAGTTGGGGTTCGTCTCAACCTCGAAATAATAATAATAATAATAATTGGAATAAAGAATCTCAACCAAATAAATGGAAAAAAGACCCTTCCGGTAAAAATGATAAAAAAGGTTTCAATGAATCGAGAAGATATAGTAATTCTTCTCAACATTCTAAAAAATTACAAAATGATGAAAGTGGTTGGGGTTCAAATAAACCTGTTGATAATTCTACCGGGAATGAGGGTTGGGGTCCTGTAGAAAAGTCGGTTGAAAATGAAAATTGGTCAACAAATAGCAATGGTTGGAACACTTCTACAACTGATGAATTCAATAAGGATCATCATAAACATGATAATTATCATCGTGGAGGACGTGGTGCTCATCGCGGAAGAGGAAGGGTTGGCAATCAATATTCACGTAATGATCGTGATAATTTCAGAAATGATTTTAAAGGTGACTCGGATTTTAGAGGTCATAATCAACGTTCTTCTTTCTCACGAAGTGGTAACGATAAATATAATGGTAATGAAATCTTAATTTATCAATTAGAATTTTTATCAATCAATCAATTAGATTTTTTTATCATTTAAAATTTATCAATTAGAAGTTTTTATCATTTAAAATTTATCAATTAGAAGTTTTTATCATTTAGAATTTATCAATTAAAAGTTTTTGATTATTTATACCTTTTTTTTTTTTTTTTTGAATCATTTATATAGATCATGATCGCGAAAATAATCGTGAGAATGGTAGTAAAGATGAAAATGTTGGTGACCAAAACCAGAATGCACAAAAATCTGGAAACTCTAATGATAATACTCATTCATCTAAACCTGAGAGTACTCCTTATGTAAATAAAGATCGTGTTTTATCTGGTGGACGTGTTAGAGAGGTTTGTAACTAATGACTCTTTATAATCTTTATAAGAAAGGATAGAAAATAACTTTGGATTAAATTTATTGT